TCCTGCCAACCACGAATAACAATAACATCACTTTATTGAGAGTGTTCCTCTCCTGGGAAGTGCTTCTCACCTTTGCCCCGCCATAACAGTGCTTTCAAAAACTTAGTCTCAGAGAAAGTTTTGAACTAAATTTCATGGTACAGTTTTTCATTTATTTGCAAGCAGACACACAAACAGGCATTTAAAGTGTCTAAATTTTATGAAGTCCCAGTCCTCTGTCTGAGAAGTGCTCCAATAGCGCTAGTCAGGAGTGTTCTCCAGAGGTGATATGGCCACAGGAAGACTAGCTAGCCCTCTGGATGGGGTCAGAAGGGTGGACTCCCCTGAAACACGCTGTACACACACAATCTTACAGGTATTGTTACTGGACTGCCTAGATTTTAACACATTTCTCACCTTTGCCCCGCCATAACAGTGCTTTCAAAAACTTAGTCTCAGAGAAAGTCTTGAACTAAATTTCATGGTACAGTTTTTCATTTATTTGCAAGCAGACACACAAACAGGCATTTAAAGTGTCTAAATTTTATGAAGTCCCAGTCCTCTGTCTGAGAAGTGCTCCAATAGCGTTAGTCAGGAGTATTCTCCAGAGGTGATATGGCCACAGGAAGACGAGCTAGCCCTCTGGATGGGGTCAGAAGGGTGGACTCCTCTGAAACACGCTGTACACACACAATCTTACAGGTATTGTTACTGGACTGCCTAGATTTTAACACTCTGTTCCTAGAGAAGCAAGAAAACTTTTTGGCATTTTTAGCCAATCCACAAATCTTAGGCAGCAATTCAGTTTTTTAAAAAAGCAATAGTTACAGGTATTATGTTAGCTCTCAAGTTCTCTGGTCCTGATTGGAGACAGAGGTGGCCGAAGCCTGCAGATACTGCCTTTGGAGTCGCACTTTGTGATTAGTGTTTTTGAAATGTCAGATCGTCACCTTGGAGCAGCTAGACGTGTTCAGGGCAGACATCTCCCACAAAAGCAGCAATTCATATACTGACCACGTGGATGTATCTTGAAGTAAAACTACAGATATCCAACATAACTATTAGCTGTGTACCTCTTCTTCCTCCATTCTTTCTGAAAATGCCTGGGCGAAAACCGAGAAAAACATCCTCATTCCCATTCTCATCTTTTGCATTTAAAATAAACATCAAAAATCATTTGAAACAGACTTTAAAAAGAAATAGGATTCCCTGAAGATCCATTTAAAACAAAGATAGAGAAACTGGAACATTGGTGAACCGCCAGTGGGATCGTAAAATCAGGTAGCTGCTATAGAGTGGGCTTCAAGCTGTTTTACAACTCTAAATTGTAGAAAACCTGTACTATCGTAAATGAGTTTTGTCCATGGAAATATAAACGAGGCGGCCCCAGTGGAATATAACTGATCATTTCCCAGTGGATTTGCTGTAGACTGGCATTGGTTTGTACATTCATTTTCACACTCTAGGGTGTATCCTTCGCATTCTCCTTTGAACTGATTAACATCACACTGTTTTCCTGATTAAAAAATGAGTGGCTCCACACAAAAAAATTATACTGGCTCCACAAGAATTTAAAACAAAGTAAATTAAAATATATAATCCCACAACTTCACTCTTGGGCATATGCCCAGAGGAATTTAAAGCAGAGACTCAACAAAATACTCATGCAACGAGATACTCACCGTGGAGTAGTTCAGAGCTGTGGCACTCACAAAAGCCAAAACACTACTCATGCATAAGGACGAAGGAAACCCCAACGCGTGCTGCTACACGGATGAAGACTCTGGAGGAATTTAAACAAGCTCAATACAGATACTCTAGGACTCTCCTCATAAGCAGTGCACATGCACATTCGTGGAGATAAATTAGAATGGCGGCTGTCAGGCGTTGTGGGGGGATGAAGAATCGGAAGTTAGGGAATCTGGGACCACGAACCGTGCTAGAAAAGAATGGTGGTGATGACTGCACAGCGGTGTAAATACACTCAATGCCTCCAAACCCTACACCGAAAAACGACGAAGACAAGCTGAGTGTGGCGGTGTGTATCTACAATCCCAGATGCGCAGGAAACTGAGGCAGGAGGATCTCAAGTCTGAGTTCCACCTAAGGAATTTAGAAAAAAAAAAGTAATTTTTTTTCTTTTTATTGAGTTTATTGGCACATTTTAGGTATACAGCACAGTTCCATTCATCATTAGGATCTTGTACCTTTACATGACAGTCTTGGTTCTCATTTTTTCCCTTTGTCCCTGCCCTCCCAGAGGAATTTAGAAAAAAAAAAAGTAATTTTTTTTCCTTTTTATTGCGTTTATTGGCACATTTTAGGTATACAGCACAGTTCCATTCATCATTAGGATCTTGTACCTTTACATGACAGTCTTGGTTCTCATTTTTTCCCCTTGTCCCTGCCCTCCCTTCACCCCCTCCTCCCCTCCGCATTCACAGACACTTTATTTCCATTTTTCATTTTCTCATATTTTTAAAGGAATTTAGAAAAAAAAAAGTAATTTTTTTTCTTTTTATTGAGTTTATTGGCACATTTTAGGTATACAGCACAGTTCCATTCATCATTAGGATCTTGTACCTTTACATGACAGTCTTGGTTCTCATTTTTTCCCTTTGTCCCTGCCCTCCCTTCACCCCCTCCTCCCCTCCGCATTCACAGACACTTTATTTCCATTTTTCATTTTCTCATATTTTTTTCTTTTCCTTTATTCCCTTTCCCCTACCCTTCCCACTTTCCCTACACATTTAGCCCTATACTCCTAAGTGAAATAAATAAGTCACACATGTGAAAATAACGAATAGTTTCTCTGCTGTGAAAAACTATAATAGTACACAAGATCCTAATGAGATAATTAACTATGTGAAATAGGAAGAAAAGGGTTAAAGTAAATTTTTAAAGAAACACTGGAGATGTAGCTCCCTGGTACGGTGCTTGCCCAGCATGTGTGTGGGACCCCAGTTTCAATCCCAGATACTGCAGATAAAAAAATAAAAAAAATTTTTAAGGTTAAGACAGCAAGTTTTATGAAATGGGCATTGTACAATTTAGCTAATTTCATTTTTAGAAAGTTTTAATTCTAACGATTTTAAAGGTAATACATTTCCATTATAAGAAATATATAAAAAATACAAAAAATGTTTAACAATATTTTTTAAAGTAAAAATCAGGACTTCTGAATAGAAAACTAATAATTACCAAATATTTCAACTCATGTTTTAATCAGGAAAACAGTTCAAAGGAGAATGCGAAGAATACACCCTGGAGTGTGAAAATGAGTGTACAAACCAAAGCCAAACTAGAGCAAATCCATTGGGAAATAATCAGTTGTATTCCACTGGGGCGACCACATTTATATTTCCATGGACAAAACTCATTTGTAATAGTACCGGTTCTCTGCAGTTCAGAACAGTAAAACAGCCTAAAGCCCATGAAAGGCCACAGCACCCTACACAAATTTGCGAAGTGTGCGAAACCTTACTCTTTTTATTTCCACTTTCAAGTCTAAGGCAAAGAGAGAAAACACAGTGTTGTGTAAGGAACTCCTCAACTCGGAAGTACACTCGCTGCGATTCTCTCGAGTTAAACTCAGCCCGAGCGCGGAGCCCTTATTAAGCAAATTAAGCAATGCTTAGTTAACAATTTAAACCAGGGCAACACTTAGGGACGCGCTTCTCCGCCTGGGAGCCCCAGGTTCGCACCGACGCACGCATCCTGTACCGGGTGTATAGGGAGAAACCTAGAGGAGTCGGACACCCGCTACGCAGGAAGAAGCTACGGCGCAGGTTCTACAGGCCAGGCCGAGCATAACTTTCGGAACCTCGATCTGTCGAAGTACACCAAACTGCACAGCAAGGGAGGTGGGTGGGACGAACCGCTGCCACCGCCTCTTTCCGTCCCCGCCCACAGCCACCTGTGCCCCACTGGACAGCGCCCGGACCCAGGGGAGGGGCGACCTCTGCTGGTCCCGGCCCGAGCGGGTGGGGTGTTCGCGTCTCCCCG